TTGCATAATTAGTTAATTTTTTGCTGTTCTATGGCTGTTGCACTGATGTCTAAAAATCACTCATTGGATTTTAACGAAACTTTTCAAGAGTACATTTCAATGAACCTAGGACTATACACCATATTAGTTTTTGGTAAATATTTATGCTTCTTAATCACCTAATTAACATAATTAATTAATACTGTATATCTCAAGTATTGATCATCACATTTGAATAAAACTTGGTACCTAAATGGTCTAGGACAATAGACAGCCTGATTAATTTTGGGTTAAAATCTGTTCATATTAATTCTCTAATTAGCATAATAATTAATATTTTTTTGGTTCTAATCACCTTTCAATGAAACTTGGTACATTGTGCAGACCTTATTAGTTTGACACTTAAATCTGTTCGTTACCTTATTTGCATAATAAATTTTCTGCGTTTCCATCAACATCTCAAGTTCAAGTAATTTTGAATTAATTTTTAATGTGTCTCCAATACTCTCAGCACACGGGAGTTCTTTCTAAGCTTTTTGATTTTATTTTTAAAATGGCCAACTGGTGGCCATTTTGCTTCAATGAATGCAGTTTTAGTGCCATATATTGGTTTGACTATCTGATTCAAAATTGCCAAATGACATCCATTTTTGTGCTAAAAAATCATCAAAAATCAAGCATTTTTGGCATTCCAAAACTGAATCTTGGCGTTTATGGATAGATTTCTTTCAAACTTGGTACATACATTAGAGTTTATGGTTCCTGATGCACATCATTTTATTTTACAGATCGGATTTAAAATGGCTGACTGGTGGCCATTTTGTTTAAATGAATGCGCTTCTAGAGCCATATCTCTGACATGATTTGACTGATTATGTTCAAATTTTATATATTCATTTTACATCATGTTATAGATATTCAAAATGGCCGACTGGTGGCTATTTTGTTTTAATTAATGCAATATGGACAAGTACTCATTTGACAATCAGATACAAAAATCATCATAATCAAGCATCTTCTGGATCCATATTTCTGACATGTTTATGTTCCAACTATATTACTATAAACAAAAATATATATCTTAAATTCATGACGATACTTTCAGTTCTCTAGTCTTAGTGAATATTTTTTCATTAGCCTTCGAAGACGAAGGCTTATAGATTGGCTTCCGTCCGTCCGTCTATATGTCTGTCTGTACGTCCGTCTGTACGTCCGTCCGTCCGTCCGTCCGTCCGTATTCCGGGACTGTATCTTTCTTTGCACAAGGCTTATATAGATTAAATTATATCAAAGGTAAGAAACTGTGCTTATGGTATTTATTGTGAACTTTGATTTATTTTTTTGTGTCCCGACTTTGGTGAGAAACTAGCGATCGCACAGTGTCACCACTACAGGGCATAACAAAGACTAAGTGGGACTTTTAACCTTTGACCGCGAGAATTTAGAGTGCGCGTTCAAAGCGCGTTTCGCGCGCAATCAGTAGTGTACGTGGCATGTACGCGCAACTGCTTCAATATGGCATTCTTGGCGGCGTCGCAGAAAGTGGTGACATTTTTAAGAAGTACCAAGCATAGGTATTCGAAAAATGGTGACAGAACTGCCTGTCAGTATCTTGACGAAATGACGAAGTTGTCTGATGCATTGGTCTTAAAATACAGCAACAGTTCTTGGAAGCGCCCACGATACCAACTTATTCAAGCAAAACGTTTGTATGATTCAGAGATCCAGCACTGGAAAACGTGCATCGAAAGGCGTTTAAGTATCCGTACTTCAAGCTGTAATCCATTTAGAGGTTTCTTCCAGCGAGATGTCCCTGCCGATTTGTTTAATCTAGTTATCAAAGAACTCATTATATTTCCTTTGTACGGCGTGGCAGAATATCGGGTGCGCGGCAAGGTCGTTTATACTATTACCTACTATGAAAAGATAAACGTGATGCTCAAGTATGCTGGTCTACAAATTGCCACCAAGACATACAAAAATGGATGGACCTCAAAGATAATGATAAACAAGGACAAACCTTTTGTTATTACCTACTCTCAACGAAGTGAAAAAATGACAATTTCATTTCATTATGGAGTCTATAATGAACACGGATTTCCTCAACATGTCTAGAAAATAACATTGATACATTACTGCTAAACAACGTCATTCTGTATGTTTAACAGAATGTAGTATGGAACTGTTTATAATTAACAAATTTTGTTTTGTTTTTTCCTGAGGACCATCCATTTGAGGTCAGAGGGTGTTCCCCCTCCACCCCACCTGATAGGAGGGCACCTCAAATTCCTAGCAAAATAGGTATTTTGGCTTAAGTTGGTTAAAACATGTCTATGAAATTTTTTAAAAATAGCCATGTCCAAGTATACCTATGCTATGGAAGTTATTGAGTTATCAACTTTACAAATGGATGTAGATACCCACAATGCTTGCTGGACATATCACCACTACTATTATAATTACAAGTAGGGGGTAGTATTATTGTTTAAAAAGACTATGATTCATCCATAATGTTATAAATTTATCAACTTAACAAATAAATGTAAAGTACCCACAATGATTGCTGGTACATAATTACAAGATTGTGAAAAACTTTTAGACCCTGTTCTTGAGTGTGATTAATAA